CTGAGAGCTCCCCTTGTGCATTTCATTGAGCAAACCAGGACTTTGATTAGGAAAATAAAGCTTTCCAGGTGTGAGAGGACAGAAATGAACTGCCCAATTCAGTGCAGGTCTTTTGTCTGATTTTTGAGAGAGGAAGAGTACATCTAGATGCTAAATTGGATGCAATCTACTTGGGACTTTAAAAGCTGAGCTGGAAGAGACTTCTAGAACTACACCTAAGTGCATGGCCTCCAGATGAGTACTGTGGCTTTGCAATTGCTTTTCTCTCTTCCAAAACTGTTTGGGTTGGGTTTTTTTGTTTTATTTTCTTTTTTGGTTTTTTTGTGGAGGTTTGTTTGTGTTTTTTTTAATAAAGGGAGAGAATGGAAAGCAGTGGAAACCAGCTGACAGCTCAGAGGTGGCAGTGGGATTTACTGCATGCAGTGTTGCTTCATGGCATAAGGGAAAGCAGAGTTTTTCTCATGCTAGCTTACTGCCAGAGGAAGTGTTGTATATGCTATGTGTTCCTATGACAGTGGATGAAAATCATTCTAGAATGAATAGTTATGCTTCTTCTGGTCCTTATGATGAAGTTCACTGATGGCTCCTGCATAGTTACTAGTTGCAATGTTTTCAGCATACAAAAACATTGCTTTGTAAAATGTTCATCTTCTGCACAGTCTGTCTGCTAGAGGTATGTTGCTTTTTTGGTGGCTTTTTGTCAGATTCTTACTTTTTTTGTTGCTAAAATCATCAGGGGAAGAACACTCCTGAGAAGGAGTTTCTGTCCCAAAATAAAGGTCCTACTGAAAGGCTTCTGTCAGGTCATTTCATGCCTAGCACATCCAGGTGCTACGCCAGCAGGCTTAAGTGGAGATCACGTGGCAAAAGAGGCCGAGCAAGTAAAACACAGGCAACAGGAGATTGTTATCTGGTGTTTGCAAGAAGCCAGGTAATTGAAATCTCTCATATCACAGCTGTGTGGAAGAGCGAGTGCCTCCAGAGGAGGCTTGATATTGCCAAGAGGAAGTAAATTTGCAGGTCTCCTTTGCAAACATAAATTTCTGAAGGACACCTACACTGGAAAAGAAACTAGTTGGATATAATCCTGCACGGTGTGTGTTTGCAACTCCAACACAGGTGTTACAGCTGGAGTGCTTCAAGTCTGTGTACCTGCTGCTGGCTGCGTACACATGCTGTCATAGCTGTCTTTCAGCAGGCTGGAATCAATGGTGTCATGATATGTTTGAGTCTGAACTCAAAAAGTAAAACTGCAAATAACAAATTCTGTTGGCATTTTAACAAAAAATATGTTTCTTTCAAAGCGTGAAGACTACCTGTTGTGTGACCAAAATTACTTCCTATAGGAAACTTAAGTTGCTTTTAAACATGGCAGATGCTTCTTAATGCATGGGTGAAAACTGGTTTTAATTTTAGAGTTCTGAGAGTTTGGAGGTTGCCATTAATATTTGTTGGATCTGATGTGTTATTTCCTTTGTATCCCTTACTGTTGCTTGTTTTCAGAAGTGCAGGCTGTGCAAGTAACACAGCTAAGCTAGCTGTAGCAATTTCCTGCATGCAATTTCACAGGCTTCATGGAAGCCCCTTTCGTTACTTGCTGTGTGCTGGCTAGGAGAGTTTGAGGATTGCTTTATGTTTATAGCCCTCAGCCAAAGGAAATAACTTAATATATTGATCCCATATGCCAGATCTCCTCCTCCTCCTGGCTTGTGCTGGGTGGTACCTGGCTGTGTCAGGGAACCTTCCTCCCAGTTCCTATGATGCTTTAATGGAGGCAGGGAGGAAGCAAGGTGATGAAGACCTACAGGGCTGGCGCAGTGGCCTCAGCACCTTCTCTTGGGGACACCTGGCTCCGTGGGCAGTCCCCTCCAGCAGCAGCAGGAGCCTGCTCTTGATGTGATTCACACTCCCCACCCTGCCCTTCCGCACACCCCAGTGCCAGCAGCAAGGTGAGCCTCTCACTGCTCTCTCTGGGCCTGGTCCCAGATGGGTGCTTGCAGGAAGGTTTCTATAGGAACCAGGGGCAGGAAAAACCTGCCCACCAAGTTCAGTGCTCTAGTGTCAGGGACAGGAGGGCAGGCAGCAGGCAGGGGAGTGATCTCCAGCAAGGTGGACGCCAGTGTGTGATGATGTTGGCAAGGGAGGGTGTTCCCCTTTGCTATACCTGTCCTGGGATGAGGAGGGACTTTCAGACTCCACAGTCTCCTGCCCTGCTTCCCGAGCACCATGGTTAATTCCCTTGTTCTGGGCTGTTTTCTCATCTGCGTGCCTAACACTGGCCCAGCTCCTCCATAGCAGGTTTGTTCAGCAGTGATTCTGCATGCCATGAAGGTTAATGATGACCCAGGGGGATCTCTACTCACAAGCTTGAGGCACAGAGCATGGATTCAGAGAACAGGTAATGAGAAGCACAGCACACACGACATGGCTGAAACAGTGACTGCATTCCTAATAAAAGTGATTGGAAGCAGGGTTAACTGGGCTGAGAGAAGGCAGAGGACATATTGCCGGCTCAGGAACAGAGCAGCTGTGGTCGCAGGGCAGTGATAAGCCTGGAAAAAAGCACCTCAGTACATTGACAGTGATGTTGAAAAGGGAGTAAGTACTGTCAGCAGATTTACCTGCTTGGTGTGCATGCCGTGTGCGTTCCCAAGTTAAATGGGTGTACAGGTGCTCATTCTGTAATTCTTGTGATGTCTTCAGCTGCTGAGGGAAAAGTTGGTGCTAAGAAAACAAGTGGGCTGGAGTGATGGGAAGGACAGAAGAGTGTTTGCAGGTGTAAGCGACTGGCCACTGTGTGGGCAATGTTACTTCTCAGAAACAAAAGTGAACTTTTTCTTGTTTGTTTAGGGGTTTTGGGGTTGTTTTTTGTTGTTGTTTTATTTGGGGGTTTTTTTCTTTCTTTCTTTTTGCCCTGAGAGTTGGTGTCAGAAGACCAGAGTGTCTGTTCATCCACGCCAGCCTTTCTCATGCAGAGAGCTGTTTAAGTCTGGGAAGAAGAAGCCTTATAATTTGTGTTCTCAGACACAGATGCTTTTTATGCTTTTGCAGTGTTTTATAGCTGCTTATCTTGGACTGCTGTAGCAAGCCACTTCCAGGCTGCAGGTGCTCACTGGAAAGCTCAGAGATGCAAAGGCAATATGACCTTGTACTATTGAGCACTAGAAACAATTTGAACAGGGCCTGCTGGATGAATCCCTGGCGTTCCTTCTTTTAGTCATCTGCAATCATAAGTAGTTTTACTGAAAAGGGGAAGCTGGAAAACCCATCCCAGAAGTGCAAACGTTAGTTTCTCTCAGGTTCTTTCCCAAGTAAGTGTGAGTGACTGATATATCCCAGCACTGGCTTTATCTGCTTGGCAGAGGTAGCTCTTGCTGTCCCCCACATACAGTTGCAAGGTTGATCTTACAGTCCAAAATCTCTCTCTGATTACTGAACTATTCCACTGTTGTCCTGGAAAACCCGTATAAAAATCTGCTGTGAACTGGTATCAGGAAAGTAAGGAGGGGAGCTATGCAGGCTGCTTCATCATCTGAGCTCCATCAACAGATTTAGTCTAGAGGAGCCTGGCTCATTGCAGAGGTACTTGATTGCATGTTGTCCATATCCTAGTCCAGTGCATCACAGAAAATCCTTGTCAGAAGCTTTCCCAGGCTCCCTTCAGGGAGCTGTATTCCACAGCCTAGTACACTTTCCTCTTGTGTTGCTACCTCTAAAATCTTTCAGGCTTATTGCATGTAATGATACCTCCTTATAGCTTTTTCACCATTCCAGTCCCTTCTCCATGGACAGTGTATTCAGAGAGTGGTGATGTATGGTGTGGTTTCTTAGTATTCATAATTAAATAAGGGACTCACAAGATGTGATGGAAAAGGTGATGCAAGTTGACTTGATTTTTGACATTTTTTCAATCGGCCGTGCTGTTACTGTGACAAGGACTTTGGAAAATGACAGTGTGCTCTTTCTAGCTGATGGGTAGGTATGAAACCAAGAGGAAATTCCAGTCTGTGGATTTAATTTTCGTGTGGGGAACTTAAATACTAAGGGATTTAATTTTCCAGTGGGGAAGTTGTGTGTGAGGGGTCTGTCTGGCCCCTGCCACATTCTTAGATGCTAATTGAATTCTATCATCACCATTTTTTTTTTTTTTTCCTTTTTATGACAGGATAGTGACTTCTCACCTCTGAGAACAGCATTTCTGGACCTGCTGGCAGCCTTTGCTACTCAGCCTTACCTAACACAATGTCAGGTGAGGAGACAAAAATGGACACAGTATCTTCTTGTTTGCTTGCTTGTTCCTTCTTCAGCTGCAACTTAGTAAAAGAAAGGTACTGTTTCCAAGAGCCGTTCTTTACATTACCATGCTGTCTGGTCAAACTGGGGGAGAAGACACCACCCCACTCTTTGTGACCCAGCTGCCTTTTTCCTCAGGGTGAACTCAGTTCCTTCTTTTAACCTGTGCTGAAGCCTGCAGAAGCTGCTTCAGACATTGAACACAGAGGATAAAGAGATTGAAATGTAGTCTGCCTTCCCCAGTTTCATAAGATTTGCTCAGTTCCGTTCTCCTCCCAAGACTTGCCCCAAACTAGGTGGCTTGCTTGTGATCTGAGAGATTTCTGCTGTAAAGTGGTAGCTCTAGAGGGGTAAGAAGGCTGAAGAATTACCGGAGTTCAACTGTGAGCTGCTGAGAATATAAGCTTTACTAAAACTAGGTCTCCAGCATGTCCCCCCCTCTCCCACCTCATCTTTTTGTGTACACCTTCCTTCCCATTCCAGATGGTTATTTCAGGGCATATAACTCTAGAGGGAGACTACACTTCAAAGCCAAGTAAACCTTTTTGTTGCTGATGTGTACGGTGGAAGTCCTGGGACATGCTTATCTGCTTCAATTGCAAAATTTGACATCTGCTAGTATTAAAAAGGAAGCTGTTCAGTAGGACACTACCTGAGACTGGGAAGGTGCTTACCTTGAACACAGAAGACCGGGATAATAGGCAAACTTTCACTGCTGCAGCCTTTTAGGCATTGTCTGACAACCTTGCAGGGAGGGGCATAAGTGTCCCAGCCCTTCTGCAGCTAAAGGAGCATCTTGCTGATTTCCTATTTGGGTGCCTGGGTGACAAAGTTTCAGGGAACTCTGGATTGCTGATGATGCTGGGGTCAGTGACTCTGTAGGAGGGGTTTACTTCTCCATAATAATTTTTTTTTGTAATGGTTCCCCTGGCTTGGCACTGACTGCACAGCTTTTCCAAGCAGAAGAAAGATCGTACGATGCTGTAGAACTATTTCTCTTCCCTGGAAATCTCTTTCTTAGAGGGAACTACATTTGACCTTTCTAATTCTTTTGCTTGATGATAAGGGACAAAACCATCTGGAATTCCTTGCTTCCTTGTGAAGTGGGAGCTTTCTCAATATCTAGAGTGGCAGCAGAGACAAACTGCTGCGAGAGTCCTTCTCTTGTCGGAGCAGTCTGTATTGAGTTTGTGTCTTCCAAAGGAGTCCTTCCAGATTTTCACTGCTATATGTTCATCTCTTTCTGTTTAGGCCATCACACTCCCTCTGCTGGGGGTCCCTTCTCGGCACTTACTCCCAGCATTTGGCCCCAGGAGATCCTGGCAAAATACACACAGGTATGGTGTGGGGCAGGGAGGGGGTGTTCTCTGGCTCTGCACAGAAGTAAAGGGACCCTGGTGATTTCTGATGGTCTCTGAAAGCCACAGGGAAAAGGAGGGAGAGATGCACTCTTCCTCTGGTGGTTTGGTTGTAGACACTTGTTTGCTATTTAAACTTTGTGTGTTTTGTGGCTGCATCCTGGCTCTTGCAAGAGGATCTTGCAGAGCATAAAGAAACTTGTGTGAATTATTGCCCTGCTGTTTTGCAACTATTGCTCCACTATAAAAATGTTGACACCCTCGGGGAGTCTCTGTCACCATCGAGCTACTCTGGATGGCTTGTGCATGCCAGGAAGTGCTAGCCTCAAGACTTGCCACCAGGTGGGCAGAGCAGGAAGGAAGGAGGCAGCCGTGGAATTTTGTAACTTACCCACAGGGTTTGCTGAAGACAGCTGAGCCCAGTGGAGCAAACTGAAACTTACTGTGGAGCTATGCTAGAAGTGTGCTTTCTGTGCGCTGCCTGTGTGCAATGCTTGCGAGACCCTGCAGGAAGGGCAGGTAGGCTTGCAGGAAAGGGGAGGTTTCTGTAGACTTGCACTCCTTAAAAAAGCCTAGTCGTAACCTCCAGTGTGTACACCCCAATGCCAACCATGAGCACAGATGAGGAAAGTTGAGATTTGGGTCATGTACCTTAATTTTCTTTGGTCTGTAATTTGGGTTTGCTTCACAGGTGCAAATCCCAGTTTTGCCTGCTATCTTTCAGAGAAATCCTGAAAGCAACAGGCAGGAGATGGAGCAGTGCAGGGAGCTGAATTTGCAATGTGGCTGCACAGCTAACAGAGGACCGCTGTGTATTCGAGATGCAGACAGTAGAGACCACTTAACTGGTGTGTTTGGATTCCTTAGTCCATGAGGAGGGCTTCGTGCCTCTCCAGGCGGGAAGTTCTGATCTTGATATGATGCCGTGCTTAAACCTGCCCTGCTGGAAAAAGATTGCTGGAAAAATCTGTGCAAGTGTGAAAATCTGGCAGAACTTCACAGTTTCCATGGAGAAGTCAAAATGGGAATGGCTTGCAACACCTCCCCAGCTGGGAATTGCGGTGGGAGACACTGAAAATAAAAAAGCAAGGAGTCTAGTTACTCAGAAGGGACAGTGCAGACAGTGATAGGATGGTGCAATATCCACATGTCTCTCTTCAGTTGTTCAGTGCTAAGCTGGTGAAAGTGTCTGTTCTTCTTCCTCATGTTGCCCAGAAAGAAGAATCCATGGAGCAGCCAGAGTTCCGCTATGATGAATTTGGTTTCCGAGTTGATAAGGAAGGTAAAGCCAGTCCCCTCCCTCCCGCTGCCATTGTGTCTTGTGTCCAGCTCTTCCCATGCTTCCATGTACAGCAGGGTGATTTTGCAGCCATTCTGTGCTAGGTCTTGTGTACCCACCTGTCATCATCTTTCTGTATCCTACCATTGTAATAAAGTGCACTAGACGTGCTGGTCTTAATGGGAGTCTGACTGTGTGCCATGGGTAAGAGAGAGAAAAGTTAAGAGGAAGTTACTATTTCCATTAGCAGCTGCATGCTGGGGAAGGGCAACTTTCCCAGTTCACAGTGCGGTCTCTGTTGTGTTCAATAGCCCTCTAAGCACTGATAGCAGGCACAGTGACATATGCTGTCTGTTGAAAAACTCATGGCCAAGGTGAGTGGCAGCAGTATGTGTTCTGTGCATACCAGCAGCTTGGCAAAGCGTGGGGCAAACTGTAGGGGCAGAATCCATATACTGTTTTTTTCTGCAAGATATAGAGGCAAGTGACCCAATACGAGGAGGTGTGGAGAGCTATTGCAGCTGGGCATTGAACCACAACAGCTGGCTGCCTTTGCAAAGAGGAAGAGAAAGGAGTGGGGGGACGTAGGAGTTGCTTTATGTACTCTGAGAGGATGTTTCCAGGGCTCTGGCGGTACAGTGCAAGGGCAGAAGTTGTTTGCACGTGTACACTGAGGCAGCTTGAGTCATAAGAGGATCCTCTTTGAAGCAATGACCCAGAGTTGAGGACAGGACACCAATTTTCTTTGGCCAGAACATTTGATAGACTTGTGCATTATAAAATCAGCAGAAAGATTTGGACTGTGTTATTGGGATGTGTTACATGATGAAGGACAGAATGCCTTACATCAAACCTGTACTTGTGCTAAAGTTATCTATTTTAGAAAGTCAGCCTCAGGTTAAGGTGCTCTCTCATTGTGAAATTGAAGTGTCCTTATTAAAGCTTTTTTGGTGATTAAATATCCCCAAAGTTAACATTTTGCACCTCATTACTTGCATGAACATATAGCTTCTGCTTGCCACCTCTGAGGCTTGCTATGCTTTTGTCAGCGTGATTTACAGATCCTTACAAAACCCAGCAGGATGACTGCTGCCGGGGTCTAGTTTAATTCCAGCCACACTCTGCTCTAAATCATGAGTAAGTAGAGACTAGAAGCCTGATGACAGCTTCTTAGTTCTGAAGGCCCCAGTGCCTTTTGCTTATGACCGTAAAATTTGCTGCATGAAGACAGTTAGAAACCAAGCTTTGTCTTTCCATGCTCTGGCTGGAAGACGTGAATGTTTTTAATGTGCTTTCTTCAGATGTCCTTCCTGCTCCCCACCCTGCCCTATGTTTGTTCCTTCTCCTGTTCCTTCTCTTTCTTCTCTTCATTTCATTCTCCCTTTGCTGAGGCAGATGGTGCTGAGCCAAACTCCAGCAAGCTTCTGGGGGTCCCACTGACGGAGGAGCCACAGCAGAGGCTCAAGTGGCAGGCTCATCTGGAATTCACACACAACCATGACGTGGGTGACCTCACCTGGGATAAAATTGAGGTCACTCTACCACATTCAGACAAGCTGCGCTCCCTGGTGCTAGCTGGCATCCCACACAGCATGAGGCCACAGGTGAGAGTGCTGCTTGTCTGGGAAGGTTCTTCTGCCTGGAATAAGAGACCATCAAGCAAGACTACTTTCTCTTGGTTGAGAAGGTACCTTGGTTGAGAAGGTAGAAGATAGGGCTTTCTGTGGCTGTCTTAGTGACTTGTCCTATCTCTCTTCACCCTGTCCCCCCAGCTGTGGATGCGCCTGTCGGGGGCCTTGCAGAAGAAGAGGAATTCAGAGATGTCATATCGGGATATCGTGAAAAACAGCTCTAACGATGAAACTATTGCTGCCAAACAGGTAGGAGGTACTGCTTAGTGCTGACTGGGCGTGAGGGCGTGTGGAGAAGGGCAAGATCTGCTGCATGAGAAGGAAGGGGTGTCTGCCTAACACATGCAGCAGGGACAGTTGAGAGGACATGTGTGGTTGAATCCTGCTAAAGCTTAATCCCGTTGAGCATATTTCTCCTTTGTTTTGTTGGAATAGCAACTGTGCAGCTGCCCTCCTTCCTAGGACAGCAGGGAAGGGGTTGGACCCATGCTACCTGCAAGCTAGAAAACAGCTGCAGTTGCATCTCAGCAAACATCCTGCTATTCATTGAGGGAAGTGAAGGGTGAAAGGCTGACAGATGTACCTCTGTTGAGGTAGTGGCAACTGCTTCCAGAGACTGTCTTTGTTTCCTCAAATACAAAGTCTCTGAACACCAACAAGACTGTTGCAGGGTGTTTTCCCTCTTCCTCTGACCTCTCCTTTTGTGAAAGGAGGCAAAGGCCATGGCAAGAGAAAGTGACCTCTGCACATATTCACCTCTCACTAAGAAGCTAGGTTCAAAATGGTTGGAAGGAAGAACATCACTGCCCAAGGGAGATCTGTGGGCTGTTCACCTCTTAGTCCCTTGTCACAGGTGTGGCCAGGTTGTTGGTTTCTTTCTGGGATAGATTTGTTGGGAAGCCTTGCTTGAAATCGTAAGGAGGTGAAATTTCCAACCAGTATGCCTACCTATTCTCCGTGGTGAAGCTAGGGGCTGAGTTTAGGCAAGTATTTCTTGGGAGACACCAAGTCACTGTCTGCACTGGCATTTTCCCACATGTCAGTGAAGGCTGTTAAACTGACCCCAGGTGCTTGGGCAGGACCATCTTTGGTACCTAAGGACTCAGGCATGCGTGTGCAGAAGCTGAGGCAAGAGGCTGTGGGGAAGTGCAGAGAGCAGAAGGCAGTTGTTCAGATGCTGTTAGCTGACCTTGTTCTTCCTTATGGCTGTCTCGCAGATTGAAAAGGACTTGCTCCGCACAATGCCCAGCAATGCCTGCTTCTCCAACATGAACAGTATTGGGGTGCCACGGCTGCGCAGGATACTACGGGGACTTGCCTGGCTCTATCCAGAGATTGGATATTGCCAAGGCACTGGCATGGTAACCTGTCTTTATAATAAAGATCATTTTGTCTATGGTGGGGCAAGTGATTTGAGGCATTGCTGCCAGACACTATGGCCTCCAGATGAGGTGAAGGGAAATCCCTTCCACATGGAACGTTTTTCCTAGAGAAGGAAGAGCAGAGTAGCACCTCATGTCCAAAGATGTGGAAGAATTCAGTCCATTTATTTGGGAGGGAGAGGCATCACACTGAGGAGAAATCAATTCAGTGGGAGACTGTAGGAGAGCTGCTGAGGAGGACTGAAAATGTTGGTCACCC